GGCATTTGGGGGTACATTCATGGGAAAACGGGCAGGGTGGGGTGGGGGGTGGGATGGGGCTGAGGGTGGCTGGAGCCGAGGGCATGAGAGGGCTCGGGGTCCTCTCAGGGGAGGGTGGGGAAAAGGCGTGAGGAGAAGCGGCCGGGATGTGCTTGGGAAAGAAGGGAATGAAGGAGGTGGAGGAGGAGAGAATTTGGGGTGTAGTGGTTGAGTGTAGAGGAAGGCTGTGGGTAGGAGGGTGTGAAAGGAGGGAACACGGAATACCTAGAGTAGGGAGCAGAGGGGTGACCGTGGGACAGCTGAGTTGGAGGCACTGGGGATGTGGGCTCTAATGAATGGGTTTTGAAGATTTTTTTTCTTTTTTTTTTTTCTTGCTTCTCTGCTGTTTGCTAGTTGTTCTTGTACAAGTTTTAGTAGGATCAGGTTTAATACATAAAAACGGGTCAGTTCTTCTAACCTCCTAAGTAGTCTTTTGCTCTCGAAACTTGTGTGGAAATTGCTTCACAAACTAATCTCTAATTAGCTGATTTACCAACGTGCTTGAGCTTCTACCAAATATGTGGCCTAAGAGACAGCAAGCACCCTACTGTACTTCCTTGTGCTCCGTGAGTCAACTTTAGACAGTGGGGGTTTTTAACTTTAAAAGTGATGTTTATTTTGCCTTTTTTTTTAATAGCTCTAAACATTTGGCAGCTTTAGGCAAACTGATGCTGTTACTAAGAAAAGCATTTAGATGGTGTGTGCTTCGGTATTTCTAAGCTGAGACTGGCCTACTTTCCAGAAGAAGTCTTTTAGCCAAAATAATTATTGCACCACAAGTGTAAGCAACACATCCCTAGAGAAAGCAAGACATGTGCTTCCAGCTCCAGACTTTTGCCAGGTGATGGTACTGAGGGTGCCAGAATGAAGAGGTACCATTTTTACACATGCAGACCATAAAAGGGGCAGAACTGGGTCGTTGGTCCAGGGTCTGTGTGGTTTAGTGCAGTCTTGTGAATTCAGCAGTCCTGATTGATTGAAATGAAACTTGTAATTTTTTTTCCCCACATCATTCTCTATTTTTACCCTTTATCAGCAGGGTTGTATCAAAACAGTAATGCTTCTTCTTGCTGGTATTTGGAAGTTCGGTTTGAAATATTGATAGGCATAGGGATAAAAGTCACTTGTTTAATTGTGGATGTGAATCATAGAATGGTTTGGGTTGGAAGGGACCTTTAAAGGTCATCTAGTCCAACTCCCCTGCCATGAGCAGGGACATTTCAACTGGATCAGGTTGCTCAGAGCCCCGTCCAACCTGGCCTTGAGTGTTTCCAGGAATGGGACATGTACCACCTCTCTGGGCAACCCATTCCAATTGTTTCACCACACTCATTATAAAAAATATCTTCCTTGTATCTGGTCTAAATCTACCTGCCTTTAGTTTAAAACTGTTACCCCTTGGTCTGTTGCTACAGGCCCTGCTAAGAAGTTTGTCTCTATGTTTCTCATAAGTCCCCTTTAAGTATTGGAAGGCCACAGTAAGGTCTGCCTGGAGCCTGCTCTTCTCCAGGCTGAACAACCCCAACTCCCTCAGCCTTTCCTCAGAGATGTTCCAGCCCTCGGATCATTGCTGTGGTCTCCTCTGGCCCTGCTCCAACAGCTCCAGGTCTGTCCTGTGCTGAGGGCTCCAGAGCTGGATGTAGGACTCCCAGTGGGGTCTCACCAGAGCGGAGCAGAGGGGCAGAATCCCTTCCCTTGACCTGCTGGCCATACTGGTGGGCATATCCAGCTTTTCATCCACCAGTACCCCAAAAGCCTTCTCGGCAGGGCTGCTCTCAATCCCTTCATCCCCCAGCCTGTATCGATATCAGATGTTGCTCCGACCCAGGTGCAGGACCCTCCACTTGGCCTTGTTGAACCTCATGAGGTTCACATGGGCCCGCTTCTCCAGGGACAGTCCAGGTCCCTCTGGATGGCATCCTGTCCTTCAGGTGTGTTGAGCGTACCACTCAGCTTGGTGTCGTCTGCAAACTTGCTGAGGGTGCACTTGATCCCGCTGTCTGTGTCATTGATGAAAATATTAAACAGTGCTGGTCCCAGTACGGGCCCCTGAGGGACACCAGTTGTCACCGATCTCCATCTGGACATTGAGCCGTTGATCACTACCCTCTGGATGCGACCATCCGACCAATTCCTTATCCACCGAACAGTCCACCCATCAAATCCGTATCTCCCCAATTTAGAGAGAAGGATATTGTGGGGGACCGTGTCGAAGGCCTTACCAGGGGTCCAGACAGATCACATCCATAGCTCTTCTCTTGTCCACTGATGCAGTTACTCCATCATAGAAAGCCGCTAGGTTGGTCAAGCAAGACTTGCCCTTGGTGAAGCCATGCTGCCTGTCTAAAATCATCTCCCTGTCCCCCATGTGCCTTATCAGAGCTTCTAGGAGGATCTGTTCCATGATCTTACCAGGCACAGAGGTGGGGCTGACAGGTCGGTAGTTCCCAGGGTCCTCCTTTCTACCTTTTTGAAAAATGGTATGGGTGGAATGACTGGTTATATGGCTTGGTGTTCTGACTTTTGAGACTAAAAGCTGCAAATTGACACTTCAGGAGTCAGATATCGCCGTTAAATCTGTCCATGTTTTACAAGGAAATTGCACCCACATCCAAAATTGTGGAAATTTTAGTTAGAAAAGGTGTTTGATGACTTCCCCTGTATTGCTGAGAGAGAGTGAGTAAAAACCTTAGTAGTGGCAGACACAGAAACTGAATTTTGCCAAAGGAAAGAATCTTTATAATGAAGGAAGTTTGGTTCAGTTCATATGCTTTTACCTTCACTGACATTATTGAGAGTTATTGTCTCTGTACCTGTCTAGGGATGTAGCCTGGAGGTAAGGGTCAAGGAAAAGACAATGTATTCCTTGTAGAAACGGCCAGATATTTTTTCAGCATAGCAAGTGTGTTGCTTTCAATGTTCATTGAGATTTCACCACCATTTTTCTTTGTTTCAGGACACTAGTAGGAGATATGAAAACAAAGCTGGAAGTTTCATTACTGGAATAGATGTAACATCCAAGGTAATTTTTGTGTAGTGGTTCTTTAACATGTTCTAATTATTGCAACTGGAAAGGGGGAATCATTTAATTTATTTCTTCCCCAGTGTTTCTTCCCTCATGTTCAGGAGGCTGGCATTTTTCAACAACTAGGGAATTCTCCTTTTGCCGGTTGTGGCCTGCATCAGGACAGGCCATCTCTTGTAAATTGTAAGAGTTACCATTTTTAAGTCACAAAAATTTGTGTGCCAAAACCTCAAAATATTTATATTGAAATTGCTTTGGTGCCACTCGATATTGCAAAACAAAGCCCTTTGAGACAAGTCAGCTGTGGGTTTTCCTCTTAGGTGAAGGAAGAACAAGTGTTTGGCAGGAAAATCTAGTTTCTTTGACTCATGTCTTCCAAGGGCATCTTATTGGTTAATTATTTAAGACATAGTTTGAAGAATGTGAACAGCTGTTGCATTTAAATAACTTAAAAGTTACATAATTCTGTGGAACTTAATCCTACAGCTCATCTCTGTACATTTAATACTGAATTGGCTGCTGTTTCATCTTGTACAATTGACCACTATATCTAGCATTTGGTAGTGGAGAAAAAGCGTTTAGTCATACACTTTGTAGGAATGATACAATTTTACATGTTCTGTCAAACATGAATCCCCACCACAACAGTGTGCTGACAAATTACATGAATAATTCCCATTTTAATTTACTGAAGCTCAGAAGATTGTGCTTATCAAAGAGTACAAAAAGGGTTCCAGAAGACTGCTAATCAGCTTTGGCTTCAATATCTAGCTTGTGTGTATTGTAATTTGGTAAAGAATTTGAAGTTCCCCTAGTCAGGGAAAAGCTGTCATCTTTTGTTTTATTCTTTAATGATGCAGCTCTGAAAAACTTGAGAAATGTGGTCAAAGATGTTTTGGCAGTCTTTAAAAACTAGTAGAAGGCCAGTATTTATTTGGATATCATTGGTGGCAGTTTTTGCTTAATTACAGTTTGTATTCCAAATTTTACTTCCGTTAGTAAGGTCCAAAAATCTATAACACTTCCTAATAAATTCTGTAGAATAAGGAGCTTCTCAGTTTCAGAAATTTTACAAAATCCACATAAACTGTTGCTGATGAGCTACTTAAAAGCTGTTTGAATTGCCAGTCTAAATAAGATCTGTATAGTTAGCACTCCAGTTAGTGTTGTTAAATTCATGCTCACAGAGGCAAGTTTACATTTCTGTGTATATTTAAGAAAAAAATAGGGAAAAATCTCTATAATCTTAAAAGATGAATTTTCTATGTGGTGGAAAGGCTTGTTTTAAGAGAGCTTTTTTTGAGCACAGCCTCTGTATGTTTGTTAGGAAGGAAAAGATAATGTTACTGTTCCATCATGGAGTCTGAGCGTTGGCTGAGCTGTCTTGTTTTCCATGCATTATAATTCCCAGTATGTTGCTGGACCTGCATTAGAGCTGTTACGTGGCACAGAAATGTTACAGTGAATTGTTTTGTGTTCTGAAACATATAGATCTCTTTGGAATTAATAGGATTATCGATATAGATTGTTGCTGTCTGGTGATTTTTATTTTAAATGTCTTATTGGGAATGCTGCTGTGATTCCTGTTTTGACTGCGTTGTTTTATATTTTGCAGGAAGCAATTGAGAAAAAGGAACAAAGAGCAAAACGCTTTCATTTTCGAGCTGAAGTGAATCTCGCTCAAAGGAATGTGGCACTGGATCGAGACATGATGAAGAAAGGTATGAGTTTATCCAACAGTCAAGAAGAAAAGATCCCTTTGTTTACTTCCTCACAGTTCCTTTACTTGACTTATCCTGTAATATTTCCTGCATCTCCAGAGGTTTTCCTAGGTCATTGCCAAAATAAATGACTTCAGAGTTTTTTTCACCATGTTTATTTTAACATCACTATTTTTTAAACTACTTGACAGTTGTCGTTTTGCTCCTGATTTTACCAGCTCCAGAAAAATGACATTTTTTGTGTACCTTATTTACTGTTTGGCAGTGGCACCTAGTGCTACATGTCCAAGATTCATCTTCTGGATCAGTGCTGCTTTAAGAATCTTTAAATTCTTTGAAAAGACCAGACCTTGAGGACTGTGTATGAATAGAGGACTCGTACATGGTCCCATGCACAGTGAGATCAGAGATCACATTCTGTGCTGTACACACAGTGAAGCTGGACTGATTGCGCATGTGCTCTTAGGTGGCAAGCAGGGCGTGTTGGAATATAAGCAGATCAGCAGGGAGATGTGTGCACAACACATTGGCGCTTTTGGCATCCAGTTAGTTCTCAAGGCTTTTTTTTCCAGCTGGCAGCTTGGACCCACTAAGCCATGGCCTGTAACAGCTCCCCAGCAGGTGATGCAAGTGGAAGTGCTTTGTACACATGTCCTGGTCAGCGGCCTCATTAGTATTCTGGCTCTTTAGTATGTAATGGTGGTACTTGGCAGTATTTGAAAAAGAAATGTTTTAAGGCAGTTTGATAGTTATGCAGTACTTGCATCTCCCAATGCTTGTTAGAATTTTGCATTGTGGAATAATGATTCAAGTTCTGGTGTTTTAAAATGATGTACGTAATATTTTCCTTTAATTAGCTTCCCTTTAGTTTCTTTAAAATGTTTGCTTTATAAACCGTTAAGTTACTAATATAAAGGCTTGCTCTGTAGAAATGAGTACCAGTTTTGTGTCTCTTCCTCTTTATAGCAATTCCTAAAGTGAGACTGGACACAATTTACATTTGTGGGGTGGACGAGATGAGTACACAGGACATCTTTGCCTATTTCAAAGAGTATCCTCCTGCTCATATTGAGTGGTTAGATGATACGTCATGTAAGTAAACAAAGTCTCTTGTCTGTAATTACTCTTTTTTTGATATCGGTCAGAGGTGTACTTCAAATGTTTGAGCGGCTTTCAAAGACACCGATCTTTGTCTGTCTAGTTTCCCTGTAATTTGGCTTCGTCAAAAGATATACAGAAGAAAAGAATGAATAGCATGTGATGAAAATCAAGCCCGCTATCTGGTTGAGTATTTATTATTGGAAACAAATAGCATAGAATAACTTGCAGATCCCTAAATGGAAAAAAAATAAAAGGTCTAAAATTTTGTGCTGCTTACATCTTGATATAAATAGTACACCTGCTTGTGAGTGTCTCACAAGGTGTCATTCTGAGAGAAGATTATTGAGCTGTGTGCAGTTAGGCAGGTTGGTATGGTTTTGTGCTGCGAAGGAGCAGACTTGTTGCCATACTTGTTTAGTGCATTCTCAAGGAGAAATTAGTGGGTGTAAGAAGGTAGCAGCTGAATGTGATTTACATAGATTAGAAAAGGAATGTATATTCACAGAGCAAGGGCTCTTTCGGGGAGTAAGCATTGCAGTGAGATTGCCAGAAAGATACAAGGTTGTTGACAGTCTTGCTTTTTTCAGTGATGCTAAAGACTGTGTAAGAGCTGTTTGATGCGGTTGGGTGCTGGATCATGGAACTGGAAGGCTCTGAGATTGTCATGTGGCTAGACATCCTGTAACTGAAATCATATAAAAAGAAGTAGGAACCAGTGCAGGTTTTCCAGTTGGTTTGGGATTGCTGGAAACTGATTTGTTGACAAGCATGGCTAAGACCTGAGAATTAGTAGCATGGTTCCCTGGAATGATCCTGAAGGAATTACGTTCCAGTGCAAGACAAAAGATATGGTATACTACAAAACATTGGTAACCTTGAAGTCATGGTGTATGATGGCTTGATATACTGCCACAAGCTGACAGAAAATTGGAAGTGCAGTGAGCCCTGGGTGGACAACTGCAGTAAAGAGCTGCTAGATGAACCTGTGGTGATACATAAACTAGCAAGTGAACAGCTTAACTGCCTCTGAGGCTGCATTTTTAAGATCGTCTCATTATCCTTTTTCCATCTGATTACCCTTTTTCTTAAATGTTACATGAGTAAATTTAGTGTGGAACCAGAGTGAACTTGCAGTGCAAAAATACAGGCTTCAGAATTGTAACAATGCTTTACCCAGTTATAGTTAAACCACATCTTTTTTAGTGAATTATTTTCATCTGTATCTGAGTCAGCATGCCAGCTACACTTGGTGAAAATATAAAGTATTGTCTTTTCAGCGTAGATTTGTGTCACAATATGGCAACAATTTTAATGTTCCCAGCTGAATTGCATCTCCAAGTGTCTTAGTGCAAAGGTGAATTTAGACAGTGTTGTGTGTTTCAAACTCATGAACATAAAATGATAAAGGCTTTGAAAATTTGGAGGTGTGAAGAGCAGGCAGGCGTACTTAAATGAAAAAGTTGTCCAACCGTTGAAGTTAGTATCTCTACCTTGTAAATCTTGTCTGTTCAAGTAATTTCAGAGAGAATCTTTTATTTTGGGACACTGTATAGTTTTCTTGATACCTGGGTACACTCTGCTTAACGGCAGAGCAGTAAATGACATTTGTTGCTGTATTTGCACTGAATGCATCCATGCAGAAAGCTTTTGTTCAAAACCTGTTTCTAAGCAGTTTTAGCTCTTTCAGTTTCAACATCTATGAAATGCTTTTAATTGGCCTGCTAAGTTATCTTTTAGTACCATCTTATATGGTACGAAAAGAATGTACAAGGCTTATACTGAATCATATTGTTACCCTGTGTACACTATAATCTGGGCAAAGCACTTGAGCACTGTCTCCTATTTTCCCTTATTTTGCTGCTTTCTGGAAAATATTAACAGAATTCTGTAGTAAGGTCCAAGGTTCTGTTAAATTGCCAAAGGGGAAAAAAATGAAGTCGTCTTTCTCCCCCCCCCCCCCCCCTCAAATGGCATTTGTGTGCTAACACATTCATGAAATACACTGACCCTGATTCAGTATCCCAATTTGCTGTGCTCAGGAAGCAGTCCCTAGTATAGATAGTTGTGCATTTCAGTGATTTTGGTTTTGATCAGTTGTGGTTTGTGTTTTCTCTAATGTGATGGATGTTGTGTGTCCTCCTGCTTAAGAAGTGTGTTAAGAAACATGACTCTCCCTGCAAGAGGTATATCTGACACTTTTTAGTCGTGTCACTATATAAGAGCATTTCTGAACCTTTATTAGTAACTTCCCTCCAGTAAGGCAGTGTATGTGACTGCATGATTATGCAAACTGCATTTTGTTTTTCTATGTGTTTATGTATTTCATAGGTAATGTGGTCTGGCTTGATGAAGTTACAGCAACACGGGCTCTAATAAATATGAGTTCCTTGCCTGATCAGGAGAAAACAAAAAGCAGAGAAAACAATGAAGAAAAGACAGCTGAAAAAAGCAAGAAAGGTAGATTGAAATACGCATATATAGACATCATCTAGTTAAGTCAATGAAACTTTAAACTTGTGCTTGGGTACTGCATAATCTATATCACTGAAGGAGCTTCTATCATATAGTTTCAGGTAAATGTATTCTGCCACTTTAAAAAAGGCTTTCATCTTGGAAACCTTTTGAAGAAGCTGCTTCTTAAAAGGTGGGTTGGAGCTAGACCAAAAGCAGTAATTCAGTCGATACTGAACATGTTAGATGCAGGGTCATATTCAGGTACGATATTTATAGTGGTACACGTTGCACAGAAATAAGTCAGTGTGACATGCGTACAAAGGCAGTAAAAGGATGGATTCAAAGTGAGGAAAAAGCAGGTGTAAGAAAATGTCCTATTTTTGAAATACCACAGTTAATGCCTTTCTTGATACACCACCATCCTTGAAGTATATGGTTCACACAGTTGTGACAAAAGTACCACTTCACCACTGTATATCACCTCTAAATTTGGATATTATACTTCCAAGAGAGAAGCACACTGAACGGTCAGTTATAAAAGAGCAAAGCAGCGGAAGTGCATCTTAATGTTGTGATAAGTCTGGTACCTGCATGCCTTAATTGTAAATTTATTTTTCTTTTATGGATGTAAATTAAAAATCAGGCTTTTGCTACCTTAGGACTGTTTTGCTGTTAGGCTGGTGTGATATAAATTGCTGTGGTTCAAAGTGCTGTACCACACGGTACAAAGCAAAGAGAGATGTATTGACTAACTCTTCCATAGATTTTGCTTAAACATGCTATATGAATAAAATGCAAATAGCCAGTCTCTCTATTATTTGCAGTGCTACCAAAAGCCTTTCCAGCAAGTTTGGTGTTTAGGGCTTTGTTAAATTTGTGGATCCTTCTAACTCATCACCTTTTCTTCTTATTGCTTTTTTCCACAACACAGTGGCTTCTCAACCATCCGTGCAACTTTAATTTTTGGGCAAATGTTGATAATGCTTCAAGTAAGACGTGTTACGAAGTTTTTGGGGATTAGTGACTGGCTTGTTTAAATGGAGCATAAATATACGTATTTAATCTTGTTGGCTACAAATTACATCATCATTACACCACATCTCAAAATCAAACCTGTCATCTAAATTACTCCTACATAAACTTACTCACCTGTTCATCTGGAAAAGTGGGATATTAGCTAAAATACAAACTTCAGTTACATCTTAAGGTGTGAGATGTGTACAGATACGCTAGTCTTCTGGCTTAGCTGCATTCCTTTTTTAGATAGGAGTTTGAGGGCTATTTAGACATTTAGGGAAGCAAGAGACTAGCCTTTACTGTGAGAAGAGTGAGAAGCTTATCATCTGGGGGAAAAAAACATGCTTGAATACTGTCCCTCGTGGAACTTCATTACTCAAGTTTGAGTTTGGCTGATTTGTTTACCTAAATTCTCTCTTTGGTTTCAGTTTGGTTAATTGTGCTTTACTCTTTTCTTTGAACTTGGGTATATTGTCAGAATCTTTTGAACAGCTGCTGTCCTCTATTTTAAGTTTTCAAGTCTATTGTTGAACGAGATGAAGATCAGGAACTCTGAAAGTTTTTTAGTCTTATGTCTAGCAAGTACTTTAAGATCTTTGCAAATGATACTGATACAGGTTGATAGCTGTCCATATTCACTAGTCTTTTTTTTGTTTTTTTGTTTTGAGGGCTATTTGAAAAAGAAAATTCCAGTATCAGTTTTCTTACTCTGAGCTAAAAAGAACTCTGTAAAATCTATGCAAGTATCTCACAATTTTAGTAGTTCTGGGAGTGTACACTCTTCTGTTAGTTATTTCACTTCAAAATTAAGCCACTAAGGTGTTTTTTTTTTCTCCTCCTGTTCTCTCTCAGAACCTCCTAAGCTTTTGAATAATAACCTGGTTTACATTGTTGGTACTGGATACTTGTAGGTACTTGCAGTGTTTTAAAGGGAGACTGAAGGAAATAAACTTTTACAGTCTTGGCCTTGCTGATCTCTGTCATACCATAAAATGCAGTGCAATTTCATTTGCTTTCAAAGAATTAAATTAATAATTATGTGCGCTGCCGCAGGCAGTTATCTGCAGAGGGGCTGTCTAGTTAATGTTATTCTGTGCTCATGCATGCTTTAAATTTCTGTAGACATTTACTGTTTTGATTATTCTCTAGGCTGCACAGAAGAAAGGATAATACCTTCAGTTTGATTTCAGAGAATGTAGGTAATAGTAATCAAATGTGACTGACACACTAAAATGGAGGTTATTTTTTTTTCCTCAATTATTTTCTTTCTTAGAAAAACAGGAGGAAAGTTCTGATGATGAGACAGAAGAAGGCGAGGTTGAGGATGACAATCCAAGTGACGTCGAGGTCAGTACAGAAGGGAAGTGAAAACACTGCTACAGATGTTTTGCTCTGACTGGTGAAAAGTCTTCATAATATTGTAATTTTAACCATATATGTTTGCAATTCACAATTTAATTATCAAGGTAAATTAGATGGGGAAGTGACAGGATGTGCACACATGCTGTTGATGAGACTAGCTGTGTAAAAGTGTTTTGTGGAAGTAGACTTTGAAGAGTGGGAGGGGATCCAGCATGTAAGAGCTAAACTGGCTGCTCTGTTCTGCTGAGAGGAGGCAATGAAAGAACAACAGTGAAAGGCAATAGCCTTTGAGCAGAAAAGGCAGTGATTAAAGAGACAAACAGGATTTAAGCTGTCCATAGATATGTGTGAGAATCAGCATACACATTGATGTTTCATAAGTAATTCAATCTTTGCTGGCTGAATATATAATAGGTATGATTAGTATTTTCTTTAGGAGTGGCTCAGTGAACACTCATACATCATGGAGGTCGGAATTTTAGTTTCTATAAAGCAGATATAAATTAAAAAAAAGTCTTTTAGTCATTGTGTGAGAGCATGAGAACCTGTTAGGGAAACCATTTAGATATGAAACAAGCAAAAAAATCAAATTTTTTAGTGTCCAAGTTGCGTTGTTTATTTTCTGCATTTCAGTCAGTATTATAGTGTAATTTGAAAATTATTGGTTTAATAATCTGAGATAATGTTATGAAGGAAGAGAATGAAATATTTTAAATCTTCAGGGCAAATTAAAAATTCACATTAGTTTGTCAAGAAAAAAAGTAGAGTTCATTTGAACATAATTAGAAAAGTAACTTTCTTAATAACCAGTTGATTGCTTCTCTGTAAGCAATCCATTTTTGTTCAATAGTAATTTTATTTTTGAGTCCAAAATACCTTTTTTGCCCCCCAAAGTTGGATGCCCTCTCCCAGGTAGAAGAGGATTCTCTCCTGCGTAATGATCTTCGCCCTGCCAATAAACTGGCTAAAGGAAACAAGCTATTCATGAGATTTGCTACTAAAGGTAAATGAACAGTGTAACAAGCATAATGAATTAATTGCTTGTTGTAGTTTTATTTGTTGACTAATTAATGACTCAAAATACCTAATTTTTATTTGCAAAATTTTTAGGTTTTTTGCTAATCACTAGGTATTAAGATTTTACAATAAATCCAGATTTAATGTGTGAATTAAATCCAGTTCAAGTTGTCTGAAAACTATTGTGCATAAAAATTTTATCTTGGGCTCAGGGTGTTCTTCCCAATCCTATAGAACTGATTTTATGATGCGCTTCTCCCCAGAGGTCCATTTCATGTTTTATAAATATGAAAATAGTTTGAGATGCTGATGAGGTATCAGTGGAAATTATTGCTAAATACATTTGAGAAATGATATTTCTGAGTAAAATGAAAATCCATATAATTTCTGGGCCATGTGGGAAGTGACACATCGATAAAGAAAAGAAAGGTCATGAATAAGGTAAGTGTAGCCTGCAGCAGTTACAGTGGGATGTAATGCTTTGGTAAGCTGCTGTGTACAAACTTGGTCTCTCTAGAATTAAGTTTCTAGGCACAAATAAAACTGTGGTGGTAGGAGAAATTTCAGAGGTGTCAGCAAAATTGTGTCCTTCGTAGAGGAGATTGAAGTAATGCTGATCCGTAAGACATATTCAGTCTTACTTTCATTCTCTGTGTCTTTGACTGGATGATTATTTATTTTATGCCAGTGTAGTAAGATATATTCTAAGAGGGAAATAATCCTTTAATTTCTGTTTTTTCAGATGACAAAAAAGAGCTGGGAGCTGCAAGGCGAAGCCAGTATTACATGAAATACGGCAATCCGAATTATGGAGGCATGAAGGGGATTCTTAGCAATTCTTGGTGAGTACTGGATAGAGGAATTGGCGCATTGCAGGTAATTGGGCGAGATAGTCTAACTGTTTTAATTTGTGGATTTTTTTTCTGTACAGTTTATGTAGATGCTTCTTATGCATAAATAGTGTTTTTGGAATGTGACTATGAATTTGCAAGGCAGGTATTTTCTCATGAAAATAAAGAATGTTTATATTCAAAATATTCAGAACAGATCTCTGACATAAATGTACATCTGCTATTAAAGTGAGTGATAATAGCATATGCTTAATCCAGGACTGAATATGGCTTGTTCAGTATGCCTTTTCTGTGACAGGAATATCATTCTTTGTATGGTGTTTCAGGAAACGAAGATACCATTCACGTCGAATCCATCGGGATGTGATAAAGAAAAGAACACTTATTGGGGATGATGTTGGCTTGACTCCTCCTTATAAACATCGTCATTCAGGTAATTGATGTATGTTGACCCTGTAGGAACACAACTGGGGAATGGAGGGCTGGAAAGGACCTTAAGCAATGCCTCGTCTAATCCCCTGCGGTGCCTGAAAGTGAAGCGTACTTTTAAAAAATGTGTCTGTTACTGAATCCCATTTTAGAGTTTGCAGGGAACAACTGAGGCTGAAACTTCACACTGCTCATTGGCTCACTGAAATAGCTGCTACGTTTTATGTGATATTTTTGTTTTACAAATTTAGGACACGGGGACTATAGCATCAAGGGCAAACACGAAACTTACTGGCAAGTTGTCCTACTTGCTGTGTCAATTCTTCCGTGCTATGAAAAAGCAAGCTCTAGATGTAGAACAATAAAGATTAGAAAATTATTTTAATTAGGCTTGAATATCTTCATCTAGTCCCTAAGGTAGGCGGTGTAAATTAGAAAAATAATTGGTGTAAAAATCTTTGACGTGAGACAAATGCAGTGTCAAAGTTTCGTATGAGCGGCCTGTTAAAAATACAGCCATGGGTGTATCAAATCTCATGGAAGATTGTGCATGTTGATGGCCTTCTGAAAAAATGCCCGCACACTGCTGATGACTAAGTTGCTGATTTATATTTAAATCAGTATATGTGGTAAATTCATAGCAATGATACATGTGTTCTTTTTAGCGTTACTGCTTACAGGACTTGAAAGGATTATCGCAGAGCCAGCAGTTGTCACATTAAGTCCTGCAAGACCAGAGGAATTGTTATGCTTAGTTCAGGAAGTATGAACTGCACCTACTACAAGAGGCAGTTGCACTTTATATATGCAGTCCAGCTTTATGCTGGAACAGGCTGCTGAGATAGTGAACACCATGGACGTTTTTTGTCCATGGACTTTTCATCCCTTGGTGATTTTCTTCCACTTAGACTATTCTGTAATATTGATTCCACTTAGAACATTTTGCAAAATATTCTCTCTTTAGCCTTGGAGAACTACAAAGACTCATTTGTTGTGATGATTAATTGAAGTGAGTCGTTTGGTTTGGGTTTTTTTTCCCCTTGGCTTTAAGGTACGTTATGTGAATGATAAACTTCAGTTTATCAGAATGAGTTTGTTTTGCTACAGGCTTAGTAAATGTTCCTGAGGAGCCTATTGAGGAGGAAGAAGAGGAGGAAGAAGTTCAGGATATGGATGAAGATGACAGAGTTGTGGTAGAGTACCGTGATGAACTGCAAGCTTTTAAACAATCCCGAGATCGCAGTGCAGCAAGGCGATCGAGTGCTAGTGCATCTGATTCTGATGAAATGGACTATGATCTTGAACTGAAAATGATATCAACACCCTCTCCTAAAAAAAGCATGAAAATGACAATGTATGCAGATGAGGTGGAATCACAACTGAAAAATATTAGGTAAAAATTTCTTATTCTTTGGAAGTATTGGTGAAAAGGCATGCTAAATTTTGATTAGTGACAGAGCTGTCAAAGCTTAAAGACAAACTGTTGAAGCTACTTTTCCAATCCTTAATTTTGTAGTAGATATTTTAAAAAGCAATACAAAATATAGAAAACACTGATACAGGTTTTTAATTACACTTAACATTTTTAAAATACAGCTTCCTTTGCAGATTTGTATAACCCTGCTTATTGATAATAATGAAGCTCGAAGTGGAATCCACAGAAATGTATACAAACAAGCACAATTATCTGCTTGCATTTCATAGAGCATATTTCTCCCTAGTCTAGCTATCTTTTCCCTTTACCCCTTCCTCTTTTCTCAGAAAGAAGAATAATCCTTAAGTGTTGATGACAAAAAGGAATTTACATTCACTATGGCCATATTAATCAAAATTGCATACAGTGTAGATTATTAAAATAACTTCAACATGTGTCCCTTCAGTACCATGATTATACTTTATTATAATGTCAAGTCCTTCAACAATTTTGAAGTTGCTTATATGTTCTGAATTTTGACCAGAGGCACAGCCTTAAGGAGACAAACTTGATACCTGCCTTGAAGTGGATACTGAGGTGTTCATGTGATTGTTGCTAAACTTAGGATTCTGAGTGGAATACGTGCTCTTCAAAGTGATGTTTTAACTCACTCTCTCAGTAGAGAAATCCTGATATTGTTGTTTTCTGTGATGTAATTTTACATACAAGAGGACTTAAGAACTATACTAGATGTCATTTAAAGGATGTTAAATATCTCTGTCTGTATATATTATTTTTTTAGGAATTCCATGCGAGCAGATAGCATAGCAACCAGTAACATAAAAAATCGGATTGGCAGTAAAGGATCATCAGAGAAAGTTGCAGATGTAAGACTACTGTTAGAAGAAAAACGTCAGAATAATAGTGGGCCACGTCAGCCAAACAACACTGTAAAATCAGGTAATTTTGAACTCTTATGTTGTGCAACTGGTTCATTAAAATCGATATATTCATTTCACATCTGTGCTCCACTGCAACTAACAAACCTGAGAGAATTCTGTTCAGCAGCAGTTTCTGCATCCATACAGTTAATTTTTCTTCACCAAGAGACGGAGTTGGGGATTGCTTTGGGGAAAAATAAGTACACTTGAGTGAAAGTGATGTTTATTTTTATCCAATTTACTTGCCTGTTTCTGTTTCCCCCCCATTTTGTCCTTTTTTATTTGTTCATTCCTTGAGGCAGAGATTCTGTAGGACTCTGAGAAATGTAGCATGCAGGGGAGATCATATGCAAAATGAAACATGAAACACTAGCTACTTACATGAAAGAACGTGTGTTACATGGATATGGAGGCAATTTTCAATTGGCAGTCTTAATTGACTGTTGCTTTTTTGACTCAGCTATGTGTAATTTAAGCTACTCCTGACATACGTAGTATCCAGAGGATTATCTGCCTGAAAAACAAAAGATACTCTTTTGTATCAATGTAATGGAGAAGTTAGGTTAGTATATTTTACCCCTCATGCACATTTTGGGGCTCTGACAAGTTGGCACATAAATCCTATAACTTCCTTTGCCTTCATGTTGTTGTTTGAACCTTCTTTAAGACGAGGAATATCTACCTAAACCAGACAAACTTCAGAATGTAAGACTGGCATCATGGTTGAAGTATCGATATATTTAGGATTCTTGTATTCTGGTTTTCATTTTATTCTGCAGAATATCAAGCAGTATTAGACTAATAGCATAGCAAGCTATTATCTGAAAAGAATCATTGAAGGTATATCAGTTTTTGTATAATCATACTTCATGCTGGATAAATACATGTTGTGCTGCTACCACAGAAATGCAGTAAGCCATGGAATAGCTTACTTTTTAGATCTTCTGGACAGAGCACTACCTGAAAACATTAAATGTCAAATTTATTGCAAAAAAAAAAAAGAAAAATGAAATCTGGATAAATTGTACTGCAGACATTGCCAGGAGTGAAATCTGAGTATGAAATATTTAAATGAAAAGACTGCAGGAAAGATGAAAACAGAGAATCTGTCTAGTTTCAAGTTGTACAAATTGTGAATGAGCATAAAATTATCTGGCAGAACTAGAGTAAATGCAACATGATTTTTTTCATTTTAATCACTGAAAATATCCCTAGATGTGCGGCAAAGACTGGGAAAAAGACAACATTCTCCAGAAATTAAACCTCCAAGTAGTACCTCTGCTCCTCGTCGAGAACCAATATCAGATGTACACAGCCGGTTAGGAATCCCCAAACAAGATGTGAAAGGCCTCTACTCTGATACCAGAGAGAAGAAATCAGGTTAGTTTTATGGCGCAAATGTAATGCTGCAGTGCCTTTGATTTCAGAGTATAAGAGAAATTTCAGCAGAAAATCATGAGGGATGTTCAGTTTAGTGAAAATAAAGATGAATTAGAAAATTCTTGTTCAGAGCTTTGAAATCTGTGTGGGTAGGTTGAGCTGAATATTTTTATGAGCAACATTTTCATATAGGTATGCTTAAAAGTAGAGGACTACTTTAAAACTGTGGTCAAAACAGGGCATTGCAAATGGGAAACAGTGAATGAGACTGCACTGAGCCTCTCGTATTTTAATTTCAACTAGCGCTTCAAAATGTAGCAAGTTTCATGCCAAACGTTAAGCTGGGAGTAGTACAAGGAGTTTAGAGATGCAGTTAAGACCAGGTTCCTCAGACTTCCTCCAGAATTCCTCTTAGTCCTGTTTTTTTTAAAAAAAGTCTGTTTTTCGTCTGAATAGGTAATTTATGGACCCGATTAGGGTCTGCTCCGAAGACACAAGAAAAGCCTTCAGATAAACCTGAAAACTCTGCGGCATCTCCAGAGGAAGATGATTCAGAACTCCAGCGAGTTTGGGGTGCTCTCATTAAGGAAAAAGAACAGTCTCGGCAAAAAAAGAGTCGATTGGATAATTTACCATCTCTACAAATTGAAATCAGCCGAGAAAGCAGTTCTGGATCAGATACTGAATCATGATTGTTTTTACATTCTGATCCTCAACATTGTGACTCTGCAGTGTGGCAAGATTTCCTTTGCCCAAAAGCCGGACGCTGGCAAAGACTCTGCAGTGAAGGTTCCAGAAGTGTCTCTGTTCCTTTTATACAAAAGCAGAGATGCGTATACCACTTGAAACCTAAAGCAATCATGTTTGTCTGGAGTCTGTGGTTGGCCCTGTGTTATGTAGGGCATTGTCATTTATGTTTATTACAGCAAACTTGTAGTTAATTCTAGCAAAACACTTTTCCCCCAGCTTTGAACTGAAGAGAAGAGGCAGAAATGCTTTGTATTTTTAAGACGACCTTTTTGTTCTTAATATTTTTAACATGGAGCCTTTTAACAAAATGTTTTACACAGTTCATCCAAAGAACAGGGCATTTCATAATCGACATCACTGCCCTTCTGGCTCTTACCAGCACCTTTCCTTTCCTCTTGAAGTAATAACAATAATGCTTCCTGGGTAGGCAGCCAGCAAGAATAAAGCATGAAGGGACTATCATGTTTCCTTCCTCCAAAATACTGAATGTAAACCTAAGTTACATGTTTCAGTACAGTGAAATTTCACATAGTATCCAAGTAGCATCACCGCTCTCAAGGAATTCTGCTGATTTATTTTGGTGATACTATGTTGTGCTGTAGTAGGGATTGAGATGTTCAAGACTGCGAAGTTGGAGGTTTGAGAATTGTGTGAATTCCCAAGGGTTTAATTGGGGTTTTTTTGTTACAAGATGAGAAATTATATTTCTTTCATTTCATCTGTATTATGTTTTGAAGAAGTCTAACAATTTAAAAGCATACGTTTTTATATTTGTGAGAATTTTCCTGGTGGCCATGGTGAAAGCTATAGTGGTGTTTTCCTATGTGCTGTTTAACTATATATATAACTGAAAGAGAAAAGGAAAACTATAAGATCACTGTCTCATGTCAATATTTTTGAATGTTCTTATTGTATAGTACATGTGGATGTGGACATGGTTGACTTGTTACATTCAGCTTTTTTACCCGCGTACCCTCTCTAGGTAGGAGAAAGTTGGATCAGTGTGCAACTGCAATTTTTTCTTGTTGCCTATGGCATTTATTTTGATTGCCAGTAATTCTAAATAAGGAATAAGGCTAGCACATCACACTCTGGTAAACAGAACAGGTAGCAAAAACATTGTCTGCTACATTTTGATAGTCTGAAAATTTGTTCGCATTGTCCTTACTTCCTAGGTTCTGTCAGTCCAGAATGTCTTTGAATTATCTCTTCCCCTTTCTGCTTTTTAACAAACAAATGTTTTCTTTTTTTCTCCTATTTTTGTACTAAGTTGAAATAGGTTTGAGGCTTCACAAAAGCAAGGAATCTGCAATTAACTTTTCTTATTGCTTTATTATGTGTAAGAATAGCAGCATGTAAAATTAAAGGTAAAGTGAAAGATACAGTGACTAGAAGGGTAATCTGGGGACTGACTGGGCTTCAAGCCTCATTATTTCTTTGTTTTGTGACACTCATCCTCGATTTTATATTTAATTATTGAATATATAACTATGTCTCATAAAAGTACTGTTGAGAGTAAATGACTGCAATGTCTGATCACTGTAATAATTCATTTTAACGTATGCTTTTGTTAATATCCCTTCCGAAGTTTTCAAATAGAATCATACCCATACTGTACCCGTTTCTCAAGAGCCTGATAAAATTCATTTAACCAGTGTCTTTTTGCCAGTAAACCTCTGTATTGTATTACTGCTTTCAATCCATTATCACCTTTCCTTTTCCCAAGAGGAGATGGTAGATGTGAATCATGCACCTGGTCTATGAAGACCAGCCTCTGCATTGTTGTGAAGCCCTCCCGTCTTTTTAAGCTCCGCAGCTGGTTGTGGTCTGCTGTTAACGTTGCTGATAGCCACTGTGTTCCCACGTGAAAGTTTCTGACTTGAGCCTGGTGAAGGACAGACTAACTGCTACCAAGGGCAGGCTGGGAGCAGAGAATCTTGTCAACTGATACAAATAATCTGACCTAATAGATGTATGAAATCAAGAAAAACGGTGTAGGCAAAGGCTTGCATTTGAGGAAGAGGAGCCATGAACACTGGGTCTGTCTTCCATCAACAAGGCCTTACAAATGCCTCCCCGTTCGTCAGGTCTGTCGTGTTTCTGGTTTGGGGGGAGGGTTATGTGTGTTAATGAGACCATTGTAGCTTAGCTGCAAGAAAAAGAGGTTTACTGTTGAAGGGACCTATAGAGAGGTTCTTTTGCGATTTAGTGTTTGCCTGGTTTTGTGTTTTGATGATGTACAGAGAAGCCTTGAAAAGTGTTTGCTGGTATCTGGAATTTTAGCTTTGCTCTTCCTTAGTTACTGTACATGAACTGCTGGGTTTTGATAATTAAAAATAAGCACTGAATCACTAGTTTTCGTCAATGTGGTAAACTTAAATCTGTTTGACCTAGAGAGAGATTGCATAGAGAATTTTGTTGAAAGTCCCCTTCTCTTTGTGGTCAGCTGTTTTGCTGTTAGCTTATGTGTTCGTGATCTTTCACTGAACTCCCAAATATCATGTATATTCCTTCAAGGAGTTTGATGCAGAAATTAATGTTCTGATACTGAGGTGTGCAACCTGTGTATTTTACTAAAATGAACTTATGTTGAAAAGTGCAAGAAGTTTGGCTTTGGCTTTGGCTGGAGGATCTATGCCTCGTAGGAAAAAATGGTTCTGGATTTTAGGTGGCTTGTTACAGGACCACACGAGGACTTCTAGGAAGGTTTTGCTGTTTTTAAAAGCTGGGTTTTTGGTAAATGGTTCAGGTGACTGTTACATTGTGCAAAAGAAATCATGGCAGCTGTGGGCTCCGTGCCTCCAGGTTTCCAGGGGCAGCCTCTGACTGTGCTGCTGAGGGCGAGACGTGAGTGAGGGCTGTTTTTCTTTAAAAATTTATTTTTCTATTTGAAGATGATGGCCGATGTGTTTAACGGGGAAAAGGAAAGCAAAAACCCCTCTTATTTTCAGTTCAAGATTACATTATAATGTGAAAATAACGAAACTTTTATTTAAACGAAAGTGGTCTGACATCCCACTGACCTCCTCAGTTTCACTGGAACACCCGACAGCGCTGCGCCTCTTCCTGGCGAGGGGCCCGCGGGTGCTCCCTTGGCTGCCCCGCGCGGGGCTTGTGCCTTCCTGGGGGCAGGATGAGGGGCTCTGCTTCGCGGGGTGGCCTGTCCCAGCCCTGTCCTAATGAACCAACTTCCCTGCTTTTAACTGAGGAGAGAGGAGGCCAAGGTTTGGCTCCGGGCGAGGCTGACAG